CTCCTCATCCCTAGATTATTTCCTTAGATTCTGTTCTTCTCTCTCGGCACAAGCAACAGATATGTTCTCCTTGAACCCCTGTAGACCCTCCGTTTGCAGCGTTTCATTTTCGCCGATGTCAAGCCCCTTACACACGTCCTCTACAACCTTGACCCATTCCGTGGGTTGTCTACCCCGCTTTTTGTTTGCCCACTTCGCCTCCCATACAATTCTCGACAACCTCTCCTCTCCCATCCCGCACATGCGATACTGCCATGTCAGCTTCCTCGCGTCTCTTCCCGACCGTAGGGATTGGATCCCCAATTCTGCCCTCACGGCTGCATTACTTGTGCGCCTGGAGCATCCTAGGATGATTTTCGCTGCTTTCATCTGCGCCGCCTCGAGTTCTTTCACTACCTTCTTATTTCCTTCCCATACTTCTCCGGCGTACTCTAGCGGCGGTACGATTACGCTCTTCAAAACCGTCAATTTGATGCGTGTATCGAGGTGCCGGTTTGCGAGTATTGGGTGCAGCTTCCCTGCTCGTGCTTTGCCCTTTTCCGCTACCTTGGACATGTGTGCATTCCACGAGCAGTCTTTTGCGATCTCTACTCCGAGGTATGTGTACTGGTCCACTACTGCAATCTCCTCGATCCCCCACTTCCATCTATGTTCTACTGGTTCCTCCTTGTTCTCGTTGCATACCATGACGGCACTCTTCTGAACGTTGGCAGACAATCTCCACTTATCAGTAAACTTCTTCGCCGCGTCAATTTGCAGTTGCAGTCCCTCAGGGGTGTCCGACATACCGACAAAATCATCCGCAAACAGCATTCCTGAAACCGACGTTTCCGTGTCCCCTACTTTTACTCCCTTCCGGACTGCCTCTACGACTTCCAACAGATCGTTGATGAACACCTGGAACAATGTTGGGGACAGCGTGCAACCTTGTGGGACCCCCTGCTCAATGTCGAAGAATTTTGACAGTTCTCCGTCTAGCATGACCGCGCTTTTCGTGCACTCTGTCATCTTCTTCAGCACTCTCCACATTTTCCCCTTGATCCCGTATTTGGACAGTTGTTTCCACAACCCATTTCTCCATACGGTGTCGTATGCCTTTTTCACTTCCAGGAAGAAGCAGTTCGTCGGCCTTCCCGCCCCCTTTCTACCTTGGATGATTCTCCCTACTGTAAATGCGTGGTCTACGCACCCCTTCTTCTTTCGGAAACCTGCCTGGCCCTCACTAATGCNATATGTTCAACTGGTTCCTCCTTGTTCTCGTTGCATATCATGACGGCACTCTT